TGCCTGCCGGTACACTCCTGCGACCTTGAAACCTTATTTATGACCTCACTACTCTCAACCTCCTGTACACTGGAGCTACAATTCAGGTTCCCACTACCTTTCTTAAACAATGGAACAACATTAGCCACCCTCCAGTTTTCCAGAACTATTCTCTCCCTAGCACCCTCTTACTCTTAACGTAGCTATAGAACCTCCTGGGATTATCTTTAACCTTATCTGCCAGATTCATCTCACACCCTCTTTTTGCTCTTCTGATTTCCCTCCCAAGTGTGTTCCTACACTTTTTACAGTCATCTGAGGATTCACTTGAGCCCGATAGCTTAAGCCCAATGTATGCCTTCCTCTTTTTCCTGACCAGAGCCTCAATATCCCTCATCAACCAGGAATCCCTCAACCTGCCAGCTTTTCCATTCATCCTATCAGAGACATACTGTGCCTGGACTCTTGATATCATACTTTTAAAGTCTTCCCATTTGTCAGTCATTCCTTTTCCTTCAAATAGACTCACCCAATCGACCTGTGCTAGATCCTGCCTAATGGCCCCAAAATTGGCCCTGCTCCAGTTCAGCACCTTAACCTGTGGACCTATCCTATCTTTTTCCACAATTATGCTAAAACTAAGAGAGTTATGGTCACTGGATGCAAAAAGCTCTCCAAGTAACACTCCAGTCACTTGCCTGACCTCATTTCCTAAGAGGAGGTCCAGTGTCGCACCTTCCCAAGTAGGGCCCAAGAGAGTGAGGAGCAGAGAGAGCACATGAGAAAGCAAGAGAGAGGGCAAGAAAAAAAAAAAGGGAACAAGCTGCAATTGTTAGGGAATAATGGGGGTGGTGTTGAGAGAAGAGGGGCAAAGCAGGAGAACACAATGGAGAGAACAAAACAGCAATCAGCATTATCCATTTCCTCCCATCCAGGTTCAATGCTGTCAATGAAGCTGAAGAGAAGTGCAACACAATTAAGAAATTTTAATTTCATTCAAAAAATGTTGTAATTTGCCCAACTGTTTTGATTTCATTCTGGTAGTCAAGTTTGGATCTATTTTCAGGTATTGCATATATACTCGTGACTCTATGTCTGATTTTCCTTTTTCTTGGTCAAAATTCTTAAATTTGACAATAAAAGTGTTAAATTTGATGGCTTACCCAAACACTTCTATTTCTACATCAGAATCCGAATTTTCACTGCCATTGAAGTGTTCCTCATTGATTTCACTGTTTGCATCCAGCACTGCAGGCATTATTGCACGAACATCAACCTTGAATACATTCTGGTAAAGCATTTCATACAAAATGGCTGCAAAATAAAGTCAGGTTTAAGTTTATTCTTTTCCATATAATACCGTCAAATTCATGGGACAAATTATATGATTGGGCCGACCAGTGCCCACCAGCTAGATGACCCTGCCAGAGTTTGCAGAATTAGTGAACTAAGTGGTGGTGAATATTTATGATGCAGACAAGCTCCAGAACTCCACCTACAGTATGGATCTCTGACTAACTCATGACAGATGATGAACTGCAAACAGCTCTTAGCTGATTTTGTCATGACTTAACTAGGAAAAGTGTGGTGGTAATTATGCCCCAATTTCCCAAAAGTCACCTGAAATTTTACAGAATCCCAACGATAACCAAGTTGTGTAACTACTACTCAGAACAAAAGCATTTCACACCACTTTTCAACAGAAACAGAAAAACTATTATTACACACTTGACTTTAACAAGACCGGTAAAAAGGATTTCCAATACACTAACATACCCCTCAAAATTCCAAACACACATACAAGGCAGACAATAAATAAATGGCTTAATACAATTACTGGAGCTGGAAAAAAATAGAGAGGATGAACAAAATTTCAAAAGATCAAAGTCCAGACTACAACTTTGAAAGTTATTTTCTCACAGTCCTTTGGATTTTAGCAATGACACACTGTTGCCTGTAGGGTGATTCTTCATTTCAATCTAAGTCTTTTCCTACCTCAGAATTCTCTCTCTCTCAAGCTTTCGTCGTTTTTCTGTCTTTTTCATAAGACAGAGAGAAAGCGTGAGAGATAGAGCGCAGGAGGGAACATGCGAGAAAATGATGGAACCTTTCTGATTGCAGACTTTGGATGTTCCACTCGCTGCTCGCCTGGCACTTACAGCTTTTAACACTCTGAAGCTCATTCACAGGTTGCCTACAGGCAGAATTTCCTTAACTCAAACACTCACAGTGGCACTCAGTCTCAAATTCTCCATCTCACTGCTTCAAAAAAGCAACACTTTATTGAACAGCACAAAAGATACGCAGTTGATTTTCAAGTTGCAAAGCTCTCCTGGTTTCTCAACCATATAGCAGCCGAACTTTCATTGCAGTTTATAGGCCCAAGAAAGAAATGTAGTCTTTTATAACTTTAACAAGCAGATAAAAGCAAGGCTACCTCAATCTGTGACTTTCCATACATATAATTTACTTGCGTGATGAGAGATTGGATTCATTTGGGTTCTACAACTCATGTTGTAGGTTTTTGAAGTTTATTTGATTTGGAATTACTTTGATTAGCTTCAGGGAAAAGGTACCAACTCACTTCAGCCTGCTTTTTTGATCACCAAGAGACAGGTTCTAATCCATGAAAGGAGTCTGCTGCCCATGGGTAGCCAACTTACCCAGTCTTTTTATGCCATTTTTAAGATATAAAAGTTATTTGAAGTTCAGGTTTGACATACTTTTACTAGTCATCACAGTTATCAGAAATAATATATTCTATAACCAGTTCTGTAACAGATACATGCTATTTGCGCATCCAGTAAAAGTGCAAGATTCCTTTCCTTGAGCACCATTTTGTGGTCACTAGTAATGTGCAACCAGTTTTCTAAGCAGGATATCTAAATGAAGAAGTGCACAACACAAAAGGAATCAAAGGGCAAAGTGACTGAAGTGTTAGTAGGGGAACACTTTGAGACTAGTGATCATAATTCTATTAGTTTTAAAAGAGTTATGGAAAAGGACAAGCCTTCCATAAGAATTAAAGTTCTTAAATAGAGTCAGGCAAATTTTAATGGGATGAGACAAGAACTTTCAAAAGTTGATTCAGTAGACTGTTCACAGGTAAAGAACAACTGACAAGTGGGAGGCATTCAAAAGTGTGATAAACAGAGTTCAGAGGCATTATGTTCCTGTTAGAGTGAAGGGTAAGGCTGGTAAGAATAGGGAACAATAGATGATAAAGATATTGAGGTTCCAGTCAAGAATAAGAAAGAATCATACATTAGGAATAGACAACTGGGATCAAATTAATCTCTTGAAGAGTATAAAGAGTGCAGGGACATTCTTGAGAGGGAACTTAGGAGGGTAAAGAGGGCATATGAGATAGCCTTGGCAGATAAGGTTAAGGATAATCCAAAGAAATTCTACAAGTACTTTAAGAGCAAAAAAGCTACTACAGAGAGAATAAGTCCCCTTAAAGATCAAGGAGATCATCTATCTTCAAGTCTGTTGCGCCATTTAATAACGTCTTCGCTCATCTGACTGTGCCCTCAACTCCACTTTTTAACCTGATGCCTTATGATTCCATTGTTAGTTAAGGATTTACTGGTCTCTACCTCAAAAATATCCAACAATTTAGTCACCACTGCTCTGTAGTCAAAAAGAAAAATGCCTCTTCATTTCCGTCCTATTTGGGTACCCTATTTCTAATCTCTTATACAAGGGAAAACATTCTTTAGCATCTAATTTGTCAAGTCTCCTCAAGGACTTAGATGATTCAATAAGATCACCCCTCATTCTTCTAAACCCCAAATGGTTACAGGCGCAACCTGAATAGTGTACTCTAGATGTGGCCATATTGAGGTGCTATATAATTGTAACAAAAACGTCCTTTCCCATTGCAATAAATCACAACATTCCATGTGCCTTCCTGTTCACTTGTTCACTACATACTAACCTTTTGTGATTTAAAAAGGCCTGTTACAGAAAACTAAGTGGTAGCAACATCCATGCTTTAGAAAGATCTGAAGCTTTTAAAATTGTAAGGTCACCACATCTACTATCTTTTGAGTCCACCAAAGAACTAAAAAGTCCTTTGGTGATGAGACCATATGAAAATGACTGCGACCTACATAAAGTTTATCTCATTAAGCAACATATGGCTTCAGTTGTTCAATTCACTCAGCTGCACTTGAGGTGAGATGGCAACTTGCCATCGTTAGATTTACAATTAACCTCTTCGAAAACGAGAAAGACTCATCAATAATTAATAATTTTTTTTGGCTTTCAATTAATTAACCTTAACAGATAATTTTTTTAGCTGGTTATTCAAATCATCACACTCAGGAGTGAAAAAACACAGACACTGCTTCTCAAAATTCACTGGATTATGGACAATTGTGAAGGAGGCAAGAATTTCGGCAGTTCTGCCTCCAAGAATCCAGCAAATCAATTAGAGGGAAGGATGCATATGCATAAATTAAAACTCCATTTAAACTGGACATTTAAAAAAAATGCATATTTTAAAGAAGTGATGTAAGACAGGCAGTTTTGAATAGTCTGTTGAGAATTATAGACAATAAAATGAACTTGCAGATTAAAATCAGAATACTTACACTGGCAAATGGCTGCAGCATCCACAAATGTCTTGGGATAGACACTATCATAATGATTTCCATTTGAAAAGCATAAAAAGATCTAAACGGAAGTTGAGAAAATAAATTGTCCGGTTAGTCGTACTATTATCATCTTCGAACATCAGTAGGTTGCAATCTACATCCAAATCAGTCAACTAATGCTCCTTGGGACTGCTGAATGAGTTCCCGTTCAACTTTTGGACTAGTAGTGTGGAAAAACGCTGCCATCAATATAATCTTTCCCTTTGGTAATAAAAAGTTTTCTTTGCATACGGGGCACTTAAAAGGGAAAGGCTGAGTTTAGGTTGTTCTTAGATTTTAGTTTTGTGTTCTCAACTGTAAGTGACAATATCATTCCAGAAATCTGTTGTTTATTTTCATTTGAATTCTAATTTCCTGCTACAATCCAAAACCCATCATCTTTCAGAGCTGCTTCAGTTATATGCCTATTTGCTTGAGCAGGAACTCTTAGACCAGATTCAAGTTGCGACCACTATCTCTAGTGAATCACTTAGCATCTCTTCACCACTGAACAAATAAAGCCACATCATTGATAACATTGGTTAGAGCCACTGAAGAAAATTCGTATTATATGATAGATTTTGTTCAGATGTATTACTTACACTAAAACCTGCAACAGGTAAGTTTTTAGCTTTCATGGTTATTCATGAAGTGGAAGAGGTGCTTTTCTCAACACAAAGTACTCATTAGTCAATTACTCCTAGAAATCAGAACCAAGTACAAAAGCATTGTAGTGCAGGATCTGAATGTCAAAATATTTAGATGTTCACTTCTGATAATTTACAAAGTTCTGACCAGATGTAAGGTCAGATGATCAAAAGCTTGGTTCAAGAAGTAGCTTTTAAAAGGAGAATCTTTAAAAGAAGGAAAGTGAGCCACACAGACTCCTGGAGCAAATTCCTGATACTAGGACTTGAATAGTTGATGGCAGGTCAGACGAAGATGGCGCAATGAAAATCTGGAGTGCATAAGAGACGAGAATGTAGAGCTTGGAGATTTTGTTAGTGATCTGTTAGAAGTTACACAGAGTAAGCAAGGGTGTGTTACGAAGAAATTTGGAAACAAGGCTGAAAATACTTAAATTGAGGCATTGTATGACTCGGAGCCAAGGCAGACTACTGAGTACAGATACATTAGGTGAAAAGAACTTCATAGAATCATAGAATCCCTAACTTAGTGCAAGTTAGGATATGGTCTGTAGGGTAGATGGCAGGAAGCATCAGAATAATACAAAAATAATCAAGTCGCGAGATAACAATGTCGTAGATACGGGCTTCAGCAACAGACGAGCCGAGCCGGAGATGGAGATGGATGATGTTATAGAGATGGTTCGAAGGTTTGGGATGAGAAGTTCAGCAAAAGGTCAAGTGGGAGATCAAGCTTGTGATACAGCAGTACTTGAGTTCAGTAGTTTAAAAAAAGTACAGCTTTCAAGTGTTTTTGTGAACTCAACTGCTACTTCAGATGCTCTCAACACTGCAAACATTATTTTTAAGTAACTGACTTGTAAATGGTAAGCATTTAGAAATAATTAAGTTGTATCTGCATAGGTATCTTTCACAAACTCAGGCTCTTTCTAAGCATTTTACAACCAAATACGTATTTCTGAAGCAATGACACATTTCTGACATTCCAGTAGTTACCATAAGTTGGAATACTGTAAACTCATAAAAACTTTGAGCTCATAACCAAATAAATCTGTTTCAATGATTTTAGTTGAGAGATAAATATTTGCCAGGATAGTAGGGCAAATTCTATTGGTTTTCATAAAACAGTGTCACTGAATCTTTTATATATATTCAAAAGAAAGAAGGGATAACAGTTTTAACACAAAGGACAACAACTCCGAAGCATCAGCCTACAATATATGCTCATGCCTCTGGAGTTGATTTAAGATGTAATTTTCTTGTATCTTTACTTGGAGTCACTGTAAATGACTTTGTCAGTTTTTGAGAACTTACTGTGTCAGGGAATCCATTTTCAGTAACACGGGCAGGAGGTCTATTTGGTTCCTGGTAAATTACAAAATCTCGTCTGTGAAAGTAAAAATAACAAATTAAAAACAACATTGAAGTACCTGCGAAAAATCTAATCATATTCTATCTTACTGTACAAACCAAGGGACAACAGTCATCACAACTTAACTGTTTCAAGCCATAGAGGCCATAAGGTCCTAAGGTACAGTTCCAATGCTCTGCCGAGAGTTAATCTCTGCTGGACCGAATGCAGGATCACTATCAATTAACACCATACTTCATGGTCCAAACATGAGCAGCAGAAGTCTCACTCAGTTGGCTACTGTCAAACATCCACATGGACATCATCATCTGATGAGATCAGGTCAAGCCAAGGCTCTCCTAATATCTGCCAAAACTTATACATTAAAATGGAACTGACCACAGTATTGGAATGAACTCAGCACCCATGCATTGTATTTGTATCAGATGGGACAACCATTTACATCAAAGATTAAATTTCCGGAGGGAAGAAGAAAAATAACTATCAGAAAATGGTTGGGATTGAGGGAGGAGAGTCAGTGACACACAGAGAGAGGGGAGGTGGGGATTGCGCGAGAGAGAGAGAGCCAGAAACAGCAAAAGTGCAAGACAGACAGCAAAAGAAAATAAACTAAGCAGAGCAATGACCCTAAATCACACTTTCCAGTTGATAATCTTGCAGTGGCAGAGGTATAAATGCTGAGCTCAATAACCCATAAAGAGGAGGGTAAGAGAAAGTAACTGTAGTCATCCCAGATAAACATCCATTAGTTATGTTACAATAAGCACAGATTGCTATTTAATGCATACAATTCAGAATTCCCACAGCCCATTTAAATCAACACTAATACACACTCCCCAAATGAAAATCCTGAGTGAGAGAAACTGCATGGTACACTTCCAAAACAAATAAATTCTCCCTGATCCTCCAAAGTGATCAACAGCCACTTGCACAAAGGAGCCAAAAGGTACTTTACAGGAGTCTAATCAGGCAAAAACTGACAAGCTATCAAAAAGAATCAGATATAAGGTCAAGTAACCAAAGTGGGCTGAGGGTTGGGGGTTGGGTGCGTGGAAGGAGAGAGAGAGGGACAGAGAGGGAAGTAAAAGGAGTGGAGAAATTTAGGAAGGGAATTTTAGAGCCTACATTTTATACAGTGAAAGATAAAGCTTCCAGCAAGGCAGGTATGGGGATTCAGAACTTAGCTTTGGAGAAGCCTCATCCAATGCACTTGTCCAAAACAAACTTGTCTCTGGTGTGAGCAAGGGCATAGATGGCAGGGTGGATTAGTGAACTGACCACAGCACTGTGTTCTAAAGTGCCATTCAAATATGGTAAGAAGAAAAGAGAAATGTAGCAATAATATAAGAAAGCATTGTTAGGAGAATATATAAATGTTCACCAGAGCAAAGACAGTCCCGAAGGCTGCGCTGCCTACCTGGTGTCAAGGTTCAGGATCTCTCTTTTGGGATGGAGAGAAACTTGGAGTGGTAGGGGAAGGATCCAATCATTATGGTCTAATTAGGTACAAATGACATAGGTATGACAAGTAAAGAGATTCTGCAGAGGAATACATTATTAAGTAGAACCGCAAAAGGCAGTCATCTCAGGATTACCCTATGCCAATTTTCACCTGGCTCAGAGTAAAGATGATTAGAGAGATTAATGCGTGGCTCAAAAATTAGTGTGGAAGAAGTGGAATTGGCTTGGAGGGAAGTGGTACCAGTTCTTGGGAAAGAATAAGGCTTATTTGAAACATGCTTGGAACTGTGTCTTGTCAAATTATATAATGAAGGCTATTCATAGACATTAGATTAATCATGGGAGAGGGTTGGTGCAACTGAAGGAGAGTTTAAAAACTCAAAGAAATGAGACAGTAGAGTAGCAAACAGGCAAATGGCAACGTGTGACAGGAAGAGTAGAAAATAAATGCAGATGAGTGCAGCAGAAATTAGAATCAGATTAAATAATAAAGGCAAAAAGTCAAAGATTCAGACTCCAATTGTATGCAACATTTGGAACAAAACAGATGAAATGAATGCACAAATAGTGTAGTGATTGTAATGAAGTCTGCCTGGTGGAGCTCACAGAATATGAGTTCACTGATTTGACCAAATTAACAATCCAAACAGCGATTGGCAGGCATAAGAACAGAAGTTTCAGATATCCTGTAAATAAAGGGTGACGGGATATCGGCCCCTGTGGAGTTATTTCAGTGGTGACAAGAGCAAAACATGCTCCTGAAGAAATTTGCTCACAACAATTGTCTTTGAGTTTATTGAATCCCTGCAGTGTGGAAGTAGGCCATTCAGTCCATCAAGCCCACAGTGACCCTTGAAGAGCATCCCAGCCATACCCACCCTCCTACCCTATCTCTGTAGCCCTGCGTATCTCATGGCTAATCCACCTAATCTACACATCCCTGTACGTAGTGAGCAATGTAGCAAAGCCAATCCACCTAACCTACACGTCTGTGGACTGAGGGAATTTAGATAAGCATTTCTGGTATCATGCCATTATTTGGGAAGCTTGACTCAAAGTCATAGAGATATACAGCACAGAAACAGGCCATTCAGTGCAACTTGTCCATGCCAACAAGATATCCTAAAGTAATCTAGTCCCATTGCCAGCATTTCGCCCACATCTCTCTAAAGCCTTCCTCTTCATGCACCCATCTATTTTAAATGCTGTAATTGTACCAGTCTCCACCACTTCCTCTGGCAGCTCATTCTATACATGCACCACCCGCTACATGGGTTCCTTTTGTATCTTTCCCCTCTCACCTTAAACCTATGCCCTCTAGTTTTGGATTCCCACACCCCTGGGAAAAGACCTTGTCTATTTACCCTATCCATGCCCCTCATAATTTTTTAAACCTCTATAAGGTCACCCCTCAGCCTCCGACACTCCAGGGAAAATAGCCCCAGCCTTTTCAGCCTCTCCCTATAGCTCAAACCTTCCAACCCTGGCAACATCCTTGTAAATCTTTTCTGAACCCTTGCAAGTTTCACAACATCCTTCCTGTAGCAGGGAGACCAGAATTGTACGTAGTATTCCAACAGTGGTCTAACCAACGTCCTGTACAGCTGCAACATGACCTCCCGATTCCGATAGTCAATGCACTGACTAGTAAAGGCAAGTATACCAAATGCCCTCTTCACTATCCTATCCACCTGTGACTCCACTTTCAAGGAACCTGCAGTCCAAGGTCTTTTTGTTCAGCAACACTCCCCAGGACCTTACCATTAAGTGTATAATGCCTGCCCCAATTTGCCTTTCCAAGATGCAGCAACTCACATTTACCCAAGTTAAACTCCATCTACTACGCCTTAGTCCATTGGCCAATCTGATCAAGATCCCACTGTACTCGGAAGTAACCTTCTTTACTGTCCACTACACCTCCAATTTTGGTGTCATCTGCAAACTTACTAACCACACCTCCTATGTTTGTTCGACTCTGTCAAAGATTGGGCCCAGTATATGAAAAGAATCCACTATTTTTTCCAGGCAGCGACATTGGGGCAGATGAAAAGCAACGAGTAACTCTCCTGACAGCTTGTGGACCTGCAGCATTTTTGGAGCCTAAGTTTCCCTGAGGCACCAGATACTAAAACCTTTCAAGAGTTGACAGATTTAGTTAAGGAATATTATGACCCCAAGCCTCCTCTAATTCTGAGTCTCTGTCATTTTTACTCAGCAATTGGAGAACCAGGGCAATCTGTATCAGGATTTTTGACTAGGTTAAGACCACTGGCAGAGGCATATGACTTTGGTTTAACCCTTAATTAGATGCTGGGAGATCATTTGGTATGTGGGATTAATGATGTAACCATACAAAAGCACCTATATCTGGATTGGAACAGTTAAATTGTTCAGCAATATCCAAATCAAAACCAATCAAAATAAACATCTGGTTAAACGGTCACCCAGTTCTAATGGACGTCAATGCAATGTGGCCATTTCAGTGATCACAGAACCAATCTAACAAAAGTTGCTCTAGATTCCAACCCTTAAGTTTACACAAGGCTTTGGCTAGACTGAGAACTTATACCAGAGAATCTTTACAGATTAAGAGCACACCTTTGGTTCATTTATCAATTAGAAAATGGCTGCCTGAGTGAAGTCCTAACTAAATACCCAGATGCTTTTCAGAAAGGTGTACAGGCTATCAAAGGAGCCAAGGCTACCTTATATACTGACCCGGAAGCAATTCTACAATTCTGCAAGGTCCGCTCAGTGCCATTTGCCCTACACGCAAAAGTAGAGGCAGAAATCAGAAGGCTGAAAAGCGAAGGAATCATCAAACTAGACCAGTTTGTGGAATGGGCAGCACCAACTGTAATGACTGTGAAGCCTGACAGGTTGGTTCACTTTTGTGGGGATTTTAAACAAACAGTAGAATTGCTTTTCGCAGCTGGATAAATACCCAATCCCTCGCATAGAGGACTTTCACGCAAAGCTGGCAGAGGGCTGTCCGTCACAAAACTGGACATGAGTCATGCATACTTACAACTGCAATTAGATGAGGATTCCTGGAAGTATGCTACAATTAATACTCATAAGGATTTAAACCAATATGCGAGACTGCAATTTGGGGTATCGCCAGCGTGTGCCATTTTTCAGCAGACAATGGAGAACATTTTACAATGTCTACACTAGGTTGCCATTCATCTAGATATGCTAGTAACAAGGAAAACCAAAAAGGAGTACTTAGAGAACTTGGACATATTCCTTAGACATTTCTCCCACACAGGCATACACCTTAGAAGGGAAAAAATGTGTGTTCTAAGCACCCCAAGAGACCAACTTGGGCTACAGGGTCATTGATTCCTGGTTACACCTGTTGGAAGATAAAGTGAGGGCAATGAAAGGTGCCCTGGTTCCCACGCCTGTACTGGAGCTTAGGTCTTTTATGGGGCTGGTGAATTATTACAGAAAGTTCATACAGAACCCAGTCTCCATTCTGGCACCTCTGCACCAACTCTTATAAAATGGTAAACCTTGAAAACGGTCGCATGGCCAAGCCACAGCTTTCA